AGTTTTTTTGTGTTCACTTGGATTGCACGAAATTGGAAGCAAGTTATGTGAAGTGGTTTAACAGAGTCCACATAACTGAGTAGAGAGAAATGTTAGGATCAGCAGCAGCAAATTGCATCATTGTCCAGTAGCAAGAGAGAGATACTATATCCCTTGAGTAACATGAGAACCTCCTGCTTCATATATGATAATCTGTCTATCCAATTTTCTTCCCAATGCCATGGCGTCCGGAGAGCCCCAGCTTCACTTTGTCGTGTTTCCTTTCATGGCCAAGGCCACATGATACCGATGATCGACATCGCCAGACTCTTGGCGCAAAGAGGCATCATCATCACCATCGTCACTACGCCGCACAATGCCGCGCAATTTCAAAACGTTGTGACTCGTGCTGTGCAGTCGGGGCTCCAAATGAGGGTAGCCCTACTAGAATTTCCAAATGAAAAAGCGGGGTTGCGTGCTGGGTGTGAGAACCTTGACCTGCTTCCTTCGCAAGGAAGAAACCCTAGTTTTAAGCGTGCAAACAAGAAGAAGGTAGAACTCCATTGATTCGAAGTATTGTAATCTCCATCTCCCTCTTTGCAGATGAGGTCTGCGACTTTCATAGGATTGATATGAAATTTTGATGCCTTCTACAGCAAATCAATCTATTTGTCTCTTGAATCTTCATTACATAAGCAAAACGTACAAAACCCTAATTTGTATATTATTGTTCATATATGTAGGGTGATTAAATTAGGTTTTACAAAATCTTTTTAGTTTTGTCAATTTTGGTCATTGATGATTTTTCTACTTCTTTTAGCTTTTCGAATCAAACAAACAACTTGATTTCATTCGTCTGCGCTTTCAATTTTTTTTATTATAGTAGTTTCGTTTCCATTGAGTATTAATCCTATCCCTGGTATCACCTTTTTTTTTTTAATCATTCCTTTTTAGTTATTTATTAGGGTTCATTTTTTCACAAAATGAAAGAGGAGATTTCATCCAAGGCATTGCAGGGAGGGAGATGGAGCTTACAGTATTTTCATGTTTTTGTTTTTCTTTTTTTTTTATATTTTTTTTATGCTAGTTTCAAAGTTTGATTTTTGGTTTTTTTCAATTTTATCCTATTAGATATTAATTTTTAATTTAGATTAGTGTTTTCTTTATTAGCACATCATCATCCAAGTCATTTAATGTTTAAAACTCTCCACATCACTTTTAATCTAGACCGTTGAATGTTATAAAATCTAAAGACTACAAGGAAGTGTAAAAATGTTTGTTAAAATATTTGTCCCTTGATCCTATATATATATATATAACAATTCAATAATAAACGGTTTCAACTTTAATTCTTGTTTTAATTGCTACCAATATGTTTTCTTTGTTTGTAATGTAGGCTTGACACAAGCTCAACCTCAACCTTGTATAAGTTCAAAATCAATGTCTCCTCCAAATGCTTCTTCTACATCTCAAGCTTGAAGAATTGATCAATGAATTTGTCAAACTAAAATTTTGGTATGATAATTGGTATGAGAGTTTTGGTACGGTAACCATACCAAACCTACCCATGTACATATCTCCCTAGATTTTTTTAAATGCAAAACCAACTTTCTCACCCTCCTTTGAATTCGAACCACCCATCATTACTATCATTTATTTTTGTAACAGAAGAATAAAAATTGAAATTTTTCTTTAGGAGAGAAATAGTTTGTTGTTACGGTGGAGGGGAATCAATCCAGATTGAATCCACATAAGATGCATAGGTATGATTGTTTTCAGTCACTACAATAAAATGCCGCTTGATTTTGTTTAAAAATCTATTTATCTTTTTTTTTGTTATTAAGGAAAAGGGGACGAGTTCGAAACTATTACAGTAATTTAGGATTGAGAAGCTTCAAATTCAGGATACATGAGTAGAAACCCAACATCTTATCCACTAGAATATTAGACTACATACATCTATTTATCTTATAACTATATTTGATAAATAGATTGAGCATTTGTTCTTTTGAGTTGTATATTTATTTATACTTTTTTAGACTTGCAATTATTTTTTAAATTCATATACAAACTACAATCTGTTTCAACTTATAGATTTTTTTGTTCAATCTAGTGGTAGTTACATTCTTATTTCAATAAATTTGTTTCAAGAGCCCCGCACTAACTTTAGATCTCAAACAGTTATTATTCTGTAGTACATGATTAGAAAATTATCACGAGATTTTTTGGTCATGTTGATTGTTGTTGGGAGTTGGCCCTTTACATAAAGTTTCAAGTTCCATTAGCTAATAAATAAATAAATGGTTAACAAAAGACATGGATAGGGTGGTGTCACCCATTTTTTTAATTCATTAAATTCAAGTTTAAATTATTTCACACATTAATATAACAAATTGATGCGATATGACTCATTAAGATAACAGGTTAAAACAGTAAATAGAAAAGTTTTGCGAAGTCTAGAGTATTGTGATTGATATTCATGAATCTTTTTCTTTTGGAAAACTAATGAAAACAACCAAAAATTGTGCCATTTTACTATTAAGGACAAAAAAATTTTGATAATTCCCAATTTGTCTTTTTTTTTTTTTTTTCGGTGAACTGCCCAATTTGTCATTGGACATAAAAGTTAAAACCTTCCTCACACTAAAGTAAGTGGTCCAACACAACTAAAAAGGGAAATTGCCAAAAATGACCCATTTTTTTATCTTATAATTGAAATAAGAGCCATGTCAAAAGCGAAATGACAAAAATACCCACATATAAAATGTAAAATCTCACAAGTGATTACTTCATTCTTTTATTTCAAAGATAGAGTTATGAGCTCTGAGTTTTTGGGTTGGCTCAGATATGTGAGCATATCATGTGTATGTCGTGTAACACAATGAGTTCGATGAAAAAATGGGATCTTCTCCTTCCTCACCAAACTCTTATTGTACCAGACTTTCTTCTTCACTTCCCCTCATTCTCCTCTTCTTCTGCTCCTCCTTGTCCCCCTCCCCCACAACCCTCTAAATCAACATCGCATATGGATTAATCTTTATAGGAACAAATTACGCCTTCAAAGAAGAACCCATATGGATTCACACTTTTACGAGAAAAGGGAAAACTGAGAGAGAGAGAGAGAGAGAGATGAGAGAGAGGAGAAAAACTCATTATTGCCTTGCTCAATGTTTGGAATTCACCCAATCAAAATTTTGTACTACTAAAAACCTAAAAATTAGGGAACGTCAATTTCAAGCGCTCCCGCAGCCACCAGAGATCGACGGCGATGGCGTCCACTGCCTTTTCCTCTGCAGCCATACCCCTCATTTCCTTGAATGTCTTAGCCGATTCTCCACCTCCAAAAGTCGCCCCCACTCCAGTCAGTACAAGTACTGCCCTTAGGCTCTCAAGATCTTCAAAGGAAAGCTCCAGATGCATGACTATATCAACCAGGAGTTTGCTCAGCTACAGGTCTTTGCTCTCTTGGTTTTTGTCAATTTCCCACTTTAGAGAGAATATGGAGAGGGAGAGAAATGAAAAAATAGGAGGAATTAACCCATTTATATGCCCACGTGGGCATGGGCTTATTTGTTTCCACTTTTTTTTACTATTGGAAAGTCGGCCTAAAAATTGATGTGCCCATGCGGGTACCCTTCATTATGCCATTTGTCTTCTTTGGGACCGCCCTAGGGAAGGCTCCCTTTTGGGTTGGACTGAGGCTAAAAGAAAAAAAGGACTGAGCACCACTAGTACAAGTTACAAGTTAATTTTATGGTTATCTTTGTAACATTATCCTCGTACTGTCAATTTTGAAATATTAATTCATCTTTTTTTTGTTACATACTGTTGTTTTTATCGAACCTTGCTTCATAAGATTCAAATATCTATAGGGATGGAGCTAGAATTTTACATCGAATTATATTTTTTTTTCTTCTGATTATTTCATAAAAAGTGTGTAATTCTGTGGCAATTCTAAAAATAGTATGAGTACTTAATTTAATTTAAAAAATAGTGTGAGTTATTTTGTTGTATTTCTAGAAATAATGTTTATTTTGTTTCTAGTGTGGGTTATCTTGGTTCAGTTTTAGAAATAGTATGAGTTATTTATGGTAGTTCTAGAAATAGTGTGGGTTATTTTGGTTGAGTTTAAAACTAGTGCGGTTATTTTATTTTGTTATAGTTCTAGAAATAGTGTTTATTTTGTTCCATTCTAGAAATAGTGTGAGTTATTTTTGTTCAACTTTCATAAAAATGTGTAACTTTATTGTGGTTCCAAAAATAATATGGTTTAATTTAGTTCACTTTAGGAATGTTTTGTTATAGTTCTAGAAATAATGTGAGTTATTTTGATCCAGTTTTATAAATAGTGTGGGTTATTTTGCTATAGTTCCAGAAATAGTGTGAGTTATTTTGATTTAGTTTCGTCAATGTTTTCAAGCCATTTTGGTTAGTTTTCTGAATAAAAAAAAAAAATAGTCTAAACAACTAGTATTTTTAAGTTTAAGGAATTAAAACCCTCCTTATGCTAGAGCCCACCTTAGCTTTGTTAGTAGCTTCGCTGTTGCTTTTAGTAATTTAAAATTATCAAACTTCTCAAAAGAAATTACTTTTTTTTATTTTTTATTATCAAACTAACTTTTATTTGACGGGTTGAAACGAATTACATGCGACTCTGAAGAATTTGTACCTCAAACCCGATAACGACCTGATTAAATATCGTGTGGTGTAGGACTAGGACCATGCTTAAAAAATGGAACAAAAGCTAAAACCCAAGCTAAAACTCAAGTACTAGTAGACCACGCGTAGAAAATGGAACAAAAGCTAAAAGCCTAACTAAAACTCAAGTACAGTAGAGGTACAAAGGAAGCCGGAAAAACCTAAGTATAACTGATGGACAGTCTTTGAACAAAAATAAATAAATAAATTAAAAAAAAATAAATAGACGGTCCCGTTCTTCAAGCCAGCCGTCAGATGTAATCCAACGGTAGAGAAAGAAAAAAACAATTCTTGTTTACTTTTCTCACTCTTCCTCCGCACCTTATTCCCGTCTCCTTCTCCCCTGCAGTTCTCCTAACAAAAATGGAATCCCAAGAAAAAACCCCCACACAGCCCGCCGCCCAACGCCGTCGTTCGTCGATCTCCGTCGATCGGCTGTCTTCGTAGATTTCACTCGTTCGTCGTTCATCTTCTTCTAGATGAGGAAGAGACGCGGAGAGGGATTGGAGAGAAAATTAAAGTGGATTGGAGATCTGAGATTTCTATGAATTGCTAATTCCTTAATTTTCTCTCTCTTTTCTCACACCTTTGCTCTGTCAATCCTCTCTGCGTCTCTTCCTCATCTAGAAGAAGATGAGCGACGGACGAGGGAGACTCAGATCTCCAATCCACTGTATTGTTGTTAAGGATACGGATAAAGTGGATTGTGGATCTGTGATGAAGAGGAGGTGGTACTTTGGCTCTTCAGTCGGGGAGAATTTGTTAGTCAGACTAGGTATGCAAATATCTTTTTTTACTCTACATCTAATTATCTAATTTTCACTTGGATAGAAATTTATCTACGATAATACAGGTTCAATGTTATTGGTTTATCTTTTCTTTAAGTTTTAGTGTTTTATTATCTACATCTATTGGTGGTCTTTTAGTTTCGTTCTTGTATTTTGTAATTAGTGTAATTAGTAGTGTAGGTTTTAGATTCTAGAATGTTTTAAGAGTTGTGGAGTTTATTGGAGTATTAGAAACTATGAAAAAATCTTGCTTGATTTATGGTTGGTGGTTGCCGCATTGGAGAAGCAAGAGCAACCAAAATCCAGAAACAAACCATTTTTGTTAGTGATTTGCAGGGTGTGTGTTGGTATCCTGTGTAATCTGTTCTTGTGATTCCGTATCTGAATGAAGAACAACAATAAGCCAAAACAAAACCATGTTCTGGCTGCTGTGCAGTGCTCAGGGTTATGTATGTGTGCTTGCGTACTCGTGTGATTCCAATTCCAAGTTATGAATACGGAACGGAATCTATCTTATTTTCTGCTTGTGGAACCCAAATATCCTTCTTTGTATGTGTGTTTGTAAAAATGGGTTATGTGATGGATCGTGGGTTCCTTTTGTTTATAAAAAATAAAAAAATTGTTTTATACTTATGCTAAAGTTACATGGATCCATCCAAGTTCTACTGAGGTTTAGCTTAAATGTTAGTCTTACACAATCTGTTTTTGGGTGCTGTTTGGGTTCCACTGAAAAGAAACAAGAATGTTTGAATTAGGGCTCATGGATTATATAGCAGAAATAGGTTTTTTTTTTTTTTTTAAGAGTTTCATTGACTAGAATTAATAATAGGCTGAAAGTATTTTGGTGTTGGTCTACGTTCAAAGTAGTGGCATTTGGTGTAAATTCCTAGTAAATATATGTTATTGCAACCTCAGCATCAATTTTTCAACTGATGACTTGAATTGAATTTCTTGGTGATATGAATTTAATTCTGTTGATTCATTTCTATGTTTTGTGAATTGAAGGTGCCTGGTGTTGCTTCTGTGGAAGTAATTGGAGGGCATAGAGTTGACTTCCATGATGAGAGACGGGTTGGTGAACTTCTGAGGTTAATGATTGAACTATTGGAGGGCATAGAGTTGACTTCCATGATGACAGACGGGTTAGTGAACTACTGAGGTTAATGATTGAACTAACTCTCCCTAATTATTTTCTGTAGAGAGTTGTAGACGATGCTGCAAATGATTGCTGATCACACCGGTAGATTACTAACTAAGCCCTTTAACCCCTTCAAAAGAATCAGGTTATATGAATAAAAGTTCATCGGTTGGTAATAGACTATTAGTTAAATGATTCTGAGTGACTAAAAAAACTGTAACGAAAATATGATCATATATGTAAAACCCAAGGCTAAGAAGCATAACTAAAAACAAAAAGATACTCTTGACAGTTGCAGTATGAGACATAAACAAATCAATTAAAATTTCCAATTCGGAATGAGTTTGGCATGTAAATGTTTTCAAAGAACAAAAACATTTTCCATCATCAGAATGCACCCGGGATACTAACACCAATGAAAATTATCGTAAAAGGGGGGGGGGGGGGAGAAAAAAACTGTAGAATGAAATTGCTGTTCTTGAGCTTGCCGTTAGGTTTGGGCAAAAGGGTAAACTCTAGTTGAAGGAAGAGAATAATTAGAGACTAACTAAGCGTTGCCTTCTATTTCACTTGTTTGGGGATGGGGAGGGGGCATTGGAATGATTCCAAGTCCGTACAGAAATTGGGTTTTGTTTGGATTTTCCCCAGCTGCTTTGTATGCTGTATGCTGCCATTTTACCGGAAGCTAATCTAAACTTGTGTATCAACTATCAAGTAATGGGAAAAGATAAAGGAAAGGATAACTCTATTCATTCATGTAATACATACGTAAAAGAAAATTAAACATGGAAAGAAGGGGGGGGGGGGGCATAGAAATAAGAAATATTTGCTTTACCAGTAAGTAGAAGTGGGTAAATCTAAAGAGAAATTCCTAGCTAAAGCCTCAAAAGGAGTAATTCAGACAAAGTAAAATTATAATTTCAAGCAGCATACCAGCAAGAAAAGGAACATAAAGAATTGAGAACATTGCAAGAACAAGAAATAATTATTAACAAATGACCATAATATACAAATACCAATTCATGTCAAATCCTCCTTACAATACAATATTTATTTTCCAGTTTCTAATCATGAGTTTTAGGGCGGAACTTCATAGTATTTGTATAAAAACACATGTCAAACCATTGAGCTGATCCTCCTGGCTGAAATCGTGTTTCCTTCTTTATTTTTGTGAAGTTTTTCCTGTCAAAAAGAGATTATGAATTTAATTCTGTTGATTCAATTCTATGTTTTGTGAATTGAAGGTGCCTGGTGTTGCTTCTGTGGAAGTAATTGGAGGGCATAGAGTTGACTTCCATGATGGCAAATGGGTTAGTCCCCCACTTCAAACTCTTCTCGTTCCTCTAAGTTCCAACTTCTACTGTCTCTGAGTCTTATTCCATCACGGAGGAACTGAAATGTCGTAGGTGTTTGGATCTGTTTCTTTCTATTTTTGTTGGAGATATTTTTGTGTTTGATTTTTGTTCCTTTATGTGTAGGCATTTTCTTTAAATTTTGATCTTCTTCATCTTCTATTGCACCATTAAGTTACGTTGCTTGCTAATGTTTCTTTTTCCTGTTTTGCAACACGAATGAAAAAATTAAGCCCAATTAACCATCATTTAACAGTGAGAGCAAAGGGGAACCGCCCACTTTGTAAGAAGATGCACATTAACCATGCGAAGGTACAATTTTTAGTTTGACGATTGCTTTTAATTTGTGCATCTTCACCTACGACCCGACAATTAATTAATTACTAGCATTCATCTTTCTTTTGCAGTTACCAGAGTATCGTGCTTTACTCTCAACAAGTTAAAGATCTAATGGAGTTTCAAAGTTACAAGCACTCTCTTCGGGTTGGGGTTCGTTTCTTCTTTTTTTCAAATCCTTTTCCAATTCTGTTTCCTCATCTTTAAACATTCTAATTTGCTTTTTTATTTGTTTTATTGGTTTACAAAGTTACCTATGGTAAATATAATACAGCTTTCTCTGTCAGTTTTGTATTTTTTGGTTATAAGGGCATTTGTGTCCTTTTCTTTATTGAAGCATTTTGACCCCAAACAGGGACTGCCTTTTATAATAGAGGAGATTTGGGGTCAAAGGGTCCTAGGATCATTAACCAAGGGAGAGAGGGTGAGTTGGGAGGAGAGAAGGCTTGTTTTACCTCATCTTGCCTCAAATTCAAGGTACATCATTCTTTCTTCCTTCCATTTTTGAGATTTCTTTTTGTTTTCTGGTTATTTTATAGATTTTACACTCTTTAAGTTTTTTGTGATTTAGGTATGCATATAAGTTTTGTGTTTTTGTGATTTATGGTATTCCTATGGCTATAAATTTTTAGTGATTTGAGTTGCATTTTCTTTCTTTGCACCATCATTTATGTTTCATTTTAGTTTTCCTGTTCATGTTACAGTTTGTACACCACCTGTTTGACATAATTCCTCAATCACGTTATGTTATGCCTATAAGCTTTTGTGGTTTATACATCTTTCTTTCCTCCTTTTTCCATATTTCCTTTTAGTTTTCTTGTTATGTTACAGACTGTATATGAAGTGTCTGATATTTTTCCACTTTAGCCAAAATGTGTACCCTTATGTCTGGTTTTTCTTTTATTTTAGTTATGTCACTACCGCAGCGAGAGCCGATTGTAGCTTTTGGGAGCATCGCTCTCCATGCTGCTGTTGTTGGCATATATTTCGTTTTCGGTATAGTTGCCGGTGCCTTCAACATGCATGCTAAGGATCGAGTGAAGGATCGTGCGTCTGGCCGCAGCAAGTCTGATAATTGGGTGGGGGCTATTATATTTGCGTTCAACAGGACTGCCAGTTGCTTGTATTTTACTAGTGTGACTTTATCAACTGTTGGTTACGGGGACATTGTTCCCCATGACGGAGATAAAGTTGCCATGTTGCTGACAATGCTATTGATGTTATTGGGTTACTACCTTGTCAGTTTTGTGATTGCCACGGAAGTTGACAGATTGGGTAGTTGGTTGTTGATGCGCTTCAATGAGAGAAGAAGAGGATTCATAAGATTTTTCTGGGCGTGTCTTTGCGGGCCGATGCTCATAGCTTCTGGAGGTGTTATGATTAGGTATATGGAGGGGATTTCGTGGGCCGATTCCTTCTACCTATCAGTGGCGTCTGTCACAACTACAGGGTATGGCGATAAGCACTTCAACACGGTGTTGGGCAAGTGTTTTGCTAGCATATGGCTTCTGGTCAGCACCATCCTGAGTAGTAAATCTGCACAGTATATGTTTGACGTGATCATGCGGATTAAAAGAGTGAGAGCTTGTCGTGACTGTGGCACCATTTGCCACACATGTGCTGTCGCGGACTTAGCGTCACAAATACACGCAGTACGCATTGGATGAAACTATTATTTTGTTGAACTGTTGTTTTATGGACTCAGATTACATGGATGTAAGGATTTATGAGGGGGTATAGCCTCATGATACCCTTCTTTATAGTAATGTAATGGATTAAACTCCTTTGTCAGATACAAAAATCTTATTATATTTTAAGCGCATTGGCTCTATGATTCTCATTTTAATTCCTTATTACGGGCTGCTTAGAAGAATAGTTGATATATATATATAATTCTTCAACCTGATGGACAATGTTGTGCTCTCTTTATCCAGAAATGTTGGAATATTGACAGATATGACAGAGAAGCATAAACTTGTGTCTAATTTCAACCATTGATCGGGAATGATCTGTGGCACCATATTTTAGACAACTTTAAACACAAGGATTCAATCGTTAGATTAAGAGTAATGGCTGAGATTAAACAAGAACTTAACGGTGGAACCCATCTAGTGGTGAGCTGGTTTGTACCGTACCAGAACAGAGATAGGAGAGCAAACACGAAGACACTAAGCTCAGAGATTGAATATAAGTTTTCGTTACAAATATAGTCGTATATTAAGTTGCTTGTTTGCATCCTTGTGCTTAGTTCTTACGTTGTTTCCAAATTTATTTTGTAATTGTTGAAATCATTTCTTGGATCACCCATCCAAAAATCATATTTAAAATGTTCCTTGTGGATCCGTTTCTATCGCAACCAGTAGCTTTTTCCCGGTTAAATCTGCAAACACATTCTCTTCTTCACTCTTCGCACTAGATAAGGTGCAAAATTGTTTCAGTGCAAAATTGTTTCGGTGCTTTAAAAGCAAAATTGCAGGAAGATCCACCAGATGCCATTTTATTGCCATTCTGCCACAAACTGAGATATACATGGGCTCCAGAGCCATGTCATCTAGAGCATACCTGCCCAAGAGACCACAAAGTTACGGACATCAAAGAAGAAAAAGTAAACGGAAACACTAAACCTCGTTAAACGTTAAGTCAAGGTCCTAACAATCCTCCCCCCTAAGAAGAAGCTTGTCCTCAAGCGTTGAAGTCAGCGAGTGACCGCATGGTTGCCGCGTTTGAACATCCCACGCTGCAAAAAAATTTCCAGTGTCCAAGCCGAAAGTCCCGTGTCTAACATGGGTGGAAGCACAGAGGAAGGAACCACATGAGAGCCCAACTTAGGCTTAAGAAGAGAGACACGAAAGGTGGGGTGAATGCAAGATTCTGGAGGCAAATCCAAAGTATAGGCTACTTTCCTCACACGAGCAAGGACTTTGTAAGGACCATAATAAGTGGGTGCAAGTTTGGGGAAGTTGGTGTGACTGATAGAGGATTGGAGATAGTTGTAAGAGTAGGAAGACCCAATCGCCAACTGTGAATTCTCACTCAAAAAAATTTTCTAGCATAGTGCCGCATTCTGTCTTGAGCAATCTGCAGGTTCTCACGAAGGTGGCTGAGCAATGCATTACAGTCCACTGATGAGCACATTTTATGTCACATCTTCAACTACTAAGTTTAGACTTTTTAGTCATCTGTTCAGTTGATTTAAGTTAGTTTGTCTTATTTTATGTCAAGTATTTCTAGCATAGTGGCGCATTATGTCTTGAGCAATCTACAGGTTCTCACAAAGATGACGGAGCAAGGCATCACGGTCGCGAAGGGTAGTGTCCACCGATGAGCACATTTTATGTCACATCTTCAACTACTAAGTTTAGGTCTTTTAGTCCCCTGTTTAGTTAATTTAAGTTAGTTTGTCTTATTTTATGTCAAGTATTTCTAGCATAGTGGTGCATTCTGTCTTGAGAAATCTGCCAAATAATTGCAATACTTGGACTTCCAGCTCTCTTATAACAGAGAGGATCTGCAGAAAACGGGGGAGAGGAGAGCCATTCTATTCCAGTTTGTCCTTTGTTTTATCTCTTTTCCCATGTCTTACAAACACTTTAGTTTATGTATTTTGTTACTATGAGTGGCTAAACTCCTTAACCCTAGTTAAGGAGGAAACAACCATTATGAAATAAGTTTCGTTTCCGTTAGCTCTTCAATTCCCTTGATGATCTTATTAATGCCTATGATTCTTGCTTCAAACGGTTAAAGGAAGTTTTTGTTCTTTTCATTTTTAATGTCATGCATTCTTGATAGTTTTGAAGCCAAACTTCATTGAACCATGCTTGGTTTTGTAATTCTTATCAAACTTTGATCATGTATCATTCAAATATTATTCTTCACATAGGATGCTTAGCATGCTTTGATCTTATGTAGTTCAATGATTAGTTTACATGTGATGCTTCGAATTTATATCTTTAAGCGAAGAAGAATTTAATATGATTAATGCTACTTTGTGAGCTAGGAATTGTTAGATAAATAATTAGGAATTTATGGATTAATGGGAATGGCCGATACCTTGGTTAATTTTCTCGTTTATTTTCTTCACTAATTTCATATTCACGTGATTAGCTTGCTCAACACAACTACTTTTCTACAACTAAGTTAGTATTAAGTTAATTTGGGTTTGATTAGGTTTTCCATCATTTTAATAAATCTCTGTGGATTCGACCACGTACTTATACTCCTTTATATTTCAATAGATTTGTGCGCTTGAGAGTATAAATTTAAAACATACCAATTTTTGGCACAACATTCACAAGGTGAATTGGTGAACCAGGTAATTATATAAGACGTGACTCGCAGTGGAGGGTAACAATAGACAGCTTCAAAGGGAGTCATTTGGGTGGCCGAATGAAAGGTAATATTGTACCACCATTCAGCCCACGAAAACCATTTAACACAAGACTTTGGTTTATCACCGACCAAGCTACGCAGGTAATGTGCCAACGTTCCATTCAATACCTCCGTTTGGCCATCGAACTGAGGGTGGTAGGCCAAGTTGTGACAGAGCTAAGAATCGTGCAACTTGAAGAAGGATTCCTAGAAGTGACTAATGAAGATGGGGTCACGGTAACTTACAATTGTTGCGGGCATGCCACGAAGGTGGAACGCCCCACAAAGAAAATCTTCAGCCACCTTAGCCGCAGAATATGGATGTTTGACGAGTATGAAATGCGCATACTCGGAGAGGTGATCGACTACAACCAATATTGCATTGCGTCCCTGTGTAGAGGGAAGGCATTCGATAAAATCCATAACAATGTCTATCCATATTTTAGATGGAACAAGCACAGGTGCCCGCGCGATGCTGCGGGTTTACAATTCTATTTACACACATAATTATGTTTACAACTCTATTTACACAAATGTCCAACAATATTTACAATCATTTTTATGGGTTTAAAACTCTTTACACATTTACAACTATGTTTACAACTCTATTTATGCATAAATGTACAACATATATGTCCTCCATTGGAGACAGGATGGATGTCTATCTCATGCACATCAACTTCACGCAACACCAGGAACCCATCCTCGCTTGTTCTTCTGCTGTCTAATAATCCTAATACCGAACAGAGCATACAAATTCTATAAGTCCAAAAGTTACTGAAAGAAAATCTATTATTACTCCAATATAATACAGAAATACTAAATTCAATAATTTCAATAGTTATTCAAATTCAATAAATTTAGAATATAAGAATACTAAATTGAACGTTTGTAGCCTAAAAAACCAGAGGAACAGTATTCGTGACAATTGATGAGTACCTATTTGAAAAATGTACCTGAAGATTGACTTTCATCAAATAAATCATAAAAAAGCAGAAAATTAGTAAACCCAAAATTATAAATTGTAAAATCATCCATTTCAGTCATGCATAAATACACCATCACACATAACAAATTTGCCCATGTGACAGTGATACACAATGTAATTGTTTAGATTCATGCGTAAATACCTTTATCACGTTATGATGTTTGCTTGTTGAATTTGCCCCTGGAGTCCTGACTAATGTGATCTCCTTCAGTGGTGCATGAGCTCTTTTCTCCAAAGTTGCTTCCTTCAAAAAACCCAAAACATATCACATAAAGTATCAACGCTATTACTGCTTATTAAAGAAATTAGTCACAACAGGTATCATATATATCAGTTCTAAATCTATAAGGCATCGGATTTGTAAGCTTTGGTTTCCTATACTTCTCCCACTGATAGTTCTTATTTATACTTCTACTGGATTTGCATCACTTCTTTTACATTAATAAATTTAGAGGATTGCACATGCTTCTTTTTGGCCACCGAAGACAACATTTTTTTTCAGTTATTCTAGTTCCTTGTGGTTGAATGGGATTCTAAGCTTCAGAGTTTCGAAAATGGAGAGTTTCAAAAAACCTCAGAGCCAGTACCAATGAGCTTAAACATAGCAGATAAGAGCTAATGAGATAGAGCTAAGCTACTTCACCTCTTCCATAATTCCAAGTCTCTACCCAAGCCTAGACATCCAGACATTGCCCAGATAGGTGTCCCATCTTGACCTGCAAGATTTACTCATAATTGCAAAATTGGAAGAGGTTTAAACATGAACAGATTGTAAAACACAAAACTTTATAGCACCAAATTGGGTTGCAAGCAAGCACCAACCAAAAACATTACACCCAGCAGCATCTTGTTGAAAAAATTCAGATCTTTAAATAACTGAAAATTCAGTTTTATTGAATAAGATGGGAAAAACAGAATTCTCCACGGATAATGCCCACTTTATTCTCTGCTGTTTGTTGAAATCTACAGAACAGAGAAAAATATTTTTAAAAAAAAAACCGAGAGGATTTATACAGCTAACCTGAATTTAAGTGACTGCCCAGATCTCATTCAACTCTCTGAAAGAATCGAAAATGGTGAAAAGTTATTGAGCAAGGGAGTGAGAGAAATGTGAAGAGAGAAGAAAGAAGCCAAACAACACAAAGTCCCATAGAGTGATCCAATTCAAGTTCAAGGGATTAAATCTGCAACCAAAAACAATAACAAAGCAACCCATAAAGTTATGAAACTAATCCTATTTGTTAGTTTTTGGCTCGTCAATTTGTGTCCTTTTCTGTTTAGGATTGTTTTAGGGAAAGGGTGCACCAATTCTTCTCCTAAAAGGGCTAGGAAAGAATCTTAGTTTCCTGATTCAATTTAGATTAGAAATCCTAGAAGTCTATTTGGAATTGGAAAGGAAGTCTAATTTCCTATTCCACTTAGAATAGGAATTATAATCTGTAAAGGACATGTAAGCCAACCCTATATCTATAAATAGGGTGCGGCAAGGCTGATTTTCAGCAGAGAGAAAACAGAAAAACAGCAGAGAGTTTTGAGATTAGTTCTAGGGTTTGCATAAGTTCTGTAATCTCTATTATTAATCAAAGAAGTGGTGATTTCTCTACCTAGGGAAATCACAACTGGACGTAGGCATAAGTTCTGCCGAACCAGTATAATTCTTGTGTGTTTCTAAGTTTTCTATATTTGCTAGTTTAGTCTATCGCCGTTGGTTACATCAAAGAACAAGGTCCAGTGTGCGGGTTTTTCAACAATCCTATGTATTTGAAACCATGTAACAATTTTTACCTTGAGTTTCGAAAATATAGAATCCAATCAAATTAAAATCCATAGTATGAAATTAAGAATCTCAATTAAACAAAAACTACCTAATTAATTGGATATCCTGGCGAGTACTGCTGAAATGTTTTATTACCTCATATTTAAGAACTGAACTGAGGAGCTGGTTTACGTTGTGAAAAGTTAAGCGAGAAGTAACTTCTCCATTTCGCGATCAACATATCAGAGTTTGGAGCTGTTGGAATCTCTCTGTCTCAATCAACCAAGTTCTCCATTTCAAAGTCATTGAATACGAATTCAAAAACTAAAATTCTTTTAATTTTCCGTGTGTATTCAATGATTTGCTTCCTGTAAAAATAGGAAATATGGAATAATTATTTGGCAATGGAATCATATATAGAGCTAGAAGAGGAAGAAAAGAAGATATGTCGAAGCAAATTAAGAAATCATAATATTACAAAAGCTACAATGGTAAATTAAGAGATCATCATATTTGGAAACAGACATACGTGTAAAACCACAAAAAAAATTATTATCACCGACAAAATACTGGAAAATCTAAAGGCTAGGGATTTTCATTTTCTTAGTGAAAAAAATAATTCAAAAAAATAAATTGTTTATGAGTGATATAACCCAAAATCATCTTAGACAGCAAAGAAACATTGGATTGAGAAATCTGACCTTAATTTCCAAAACCAAGCAGGGACAAAAACGGGAGACCAGTGTTTAACAAACAGTGTTTTAGGCAAAAATGAGTTTTAGTTATGTATCAGTATTCAAAATTATGTAAATTTTTTTACAGAGTTAAGAAAATATAAATATAGAACTGTTAAATTGAAATCGTAAACCCAAAACCCAATCAAATTAAAATGCCTAAAATCAAATTTAAGAATCCCAATAAAACAAAAATTGATCTAATTAATTGGATATCCTGGCAAGTATTACTCAAATGTTTCGTTTCAAAAAAGAGGTAGCTGAGAAACCCAATACCTGAAAACTGAACTCGAAAGCTAGATTATGCTGCCGAAGTGAAGCGCGAACTTACTTTTCCGTTTTAAGGTCCGCAAATCACAGTTTGCAGCTGTCCTGATTCATACCATTTTAAATTTGACATTTGCTTCAATCTGTATCATGTGTCTATGGACATTTAGTTGTAATGATAAAACTCAAATCTCTCCTACGTATAAAAAGGTTGAGTAAGCAGCCAAAACAACAGGGCAATCAAGCAAGTGGTTGCAGGTAAACAAAGTAATTTATATGTAAGCAGCGAACGTATATATACATCTCAAAATGAAAATTTCACCTGGTGATCCAACCTATTAGCATCAAAGTAAACTTTCACTCTGAACTCCAACCGTCTCATTCTTTCTTCCTGCTACTTTTCAAACAAATCTGTAGAGTAGAGTGAATGAGTAAAACAATAGATTACCACAATCAAAAGACAATTCGAAGTAAGATATACATGAATAATTAGGAGTAAGATATATATATATACAATGGATGAATAGTGAATATGTGATATTTACCAACAAACTAAGATAAGGAGTTCATTTTACGATAATTATTCATAAGCAATATCCTTACTGCATTATTGGTTATAAGAAAAAAAAAAAAAAATAACGATTAATATCATTTGCAATTCTTACTGTTTTTTACCTAATCATTTGCAGGATGCATAAGGGGAAAAAAAAACTTTTTTTACTTCTTGTCGCATAAATTTGGATTTCACCTCATCCAAACGAACGAACAGTCATTGTTATATTTTTTTCAGTATGTAACACCAATTTGAAAATGAAAAAGATAATCTAGTTGACAAATTTAAATTCAATTTTTATATTTCAATATATTTGTTTGTCAAACTCAGTGATCAAACTTTACACTCATGCTCTCCAAAAAGACAAAAAAAAAAAACGAAGAAGAATTGAAAGTAAAAATGTGAAATTGTAACCTGTGACAATAAGATCAGCTAGCAAAACAATAAATTTGATTTCAGCTTTTTATGGCATAATATTAACATACGATAATGACAATAAATATAAAAGTTTCCTAAATGCATGTGTAGAAGGATACATATATGGCCTTCACCTTTGTTTTGAATTTCAGTGAAACATAGTGCCTAATAATTGTGGCATAAATTAATTTTAAATTTTCCATCGCTCGTAAATTTTAATTAAATAAAGCGAATACATAGTAATCATATCCCAACCATAGAATTAAGGATTTTCATATGTCATAATATTTAACAACTACTATGCATGGTTCTTAAAAAAATATATAAAACTAACCTGTAAGTACAACAGATATGAGTATAAACTAATGAACATTTCCTTTAAAGACATAGTGCGGTATAAATTCTATCACATAACATCACTTGGGAATGGGATTTAGTTTAGAGACAAACCTTCCCATATCAAATCCATTCATACTGATCACATGACATTAAGAAAGTTCGACATTCAGAGTATATAATTCAGTCAATTATATAGATGATATGTCAGTTCTATTCATGAAATACATGATACAGAAACCCACTTTGGTTAGATCAATGATTCCAACCACCATTAAATCTTCATAGTTTCCCAGTATCAACCAAATTTGAAATCTCTTTATTTTTTACACAATTCAACTTGAACCTATGTCCTTCAGTTGCAATCTCACTCAATCTTTCCCTCAAAGAATTCATCGTCTTCGCAATTCGAACCCAATATACCAATTCAGTGCAACAAAAGCAAGAAGTGAGTTCGAAAAAGCATACCTTCACAAAGCTAAAAGCTTTCGATATTCCACGACCTTCTTCTTCTTCTTCTTCCTTCTTCCGACTATCTTCTGATTTAGGGATGGCAGTGCTGCAACACTCATCAAGCATGCCTATTTCAATAACCCCAAATCAGTTTTAAAATATTTTAGGTATAAACACAAAATTGGGCATAATGAAAACTAAACCAATGTCTGAATTGCTTACCTAAGTGAAGAGGATTTTGGAAAACGGAGCGAGGCTGCTGCGGCGTTTGACCTGGCCTGAAATTAGTTAATTACCCAGATGAAAAAAAGAAATATAGAGTGAATTAAAAGATTTATCACAGAGCTTCCCTCTGCAGTTGTAGCAGTCTACAGATCCTAAAGCTTAGAGATGAGGCCTGCGTGAACTGGTGGCAGCGATGATCGAACTTGTCGACGACCTGGCACCGGAATCTCTAATTTCAGCACCAGCTACAACTCCCTTTCGCCACTGGGCAAGTGAGTCCGTCGGCCAAAGCACCTGCAGCTGCGGCAAAACCCCAAATTTCAACAAAAATTCGAAAACCCAGAAATTAAATAGTAAAAAGAAAGCTTCTTTGGGTCAATTGAAGAGGAAAGATCAGTACCTTTTTGGATTCGATGGTGATACCAAATGATGGATCGAGAGAGGCAGCGATGGCGGCTTGAGCGGAGTCGGCGGCACGGTAGGTTGCTTGTAAGTGGGCTTGTCGAGCTCGGGTTTGGGTTCCGGATGTGGAGGCAGGGGACGACGGTGTTTCGATCCGGAGTACGGGGCGTGGCGAGAGAAGTGGGGTTTGTTGAAACAAAATTCAAATGAAAAAATTTTAAAATTGCAGAGTCAATTAATTACTTAATTTAGCTCGGATCCACACCAAACTCACTCCAATTTTTTAAATTAAGCACCAAATACAAATACAAATTTAAAAACCACCGCCGATCCTTCGAAATCAATCGGACTCCAACAAAACAATTAATTTTCGGCATTTTCAAACGCAATACATCCAAAATTCAGAAATCGGTTCGGACGACTGACCTGCAAGAGTTTCGGGGAGGCCTGGAAGCAGAGCTCGCGCATTTTAAATTCCGCTCCGCTCCTGGAATTTTTTAGATTTGAGTAGAAAATTTGGGAAGGAGAAGAATTTAATCGAGAGAGTGAAAATTCAATCTACTTCAGGATCAAACACTAAAGTACGAAACTTTACCTTTTCCCTTCTCAAATCTGACATCTTCGAGAGCTCCGCCCTACTTTTGATGGTCGTATCTGAGTTCATTTGTGGGTGTCGGCGACTTGCAACGAAGGTGGATCCACGAAATGGAGGTTGGTTCGTGGGCAGGAGGAAAATTCCATATGGGTTCGTGTGGAGGTGCATCGGTGATTGTTGAACGGATTTAACTGAGATGATGAAGAGGAATGGGGTGAGCAGCGCTGGGGCTAGGTTGAGAGAAATGGGAGAGAGAAGTCTCTCGAATTTGAGAGAAATAAGAGAGAAACAGTGCTAGGGTTGTAGGAAATGAGCTCACAGAGTGAGAAAAGGAAAGGATGGGCGATTTGATGGATGATGGTTATCGACAGAGTCGGGAGAGAGAAAGAGGGAGAGAAAAGGCGGTGGCAATTTTGTAAATAAAGTGAAATTCGGCTCAAACACACGGACACAATTACCCCCTAACTTTTCAGAATTACCTTCCCAACCCAGCCCAGATCTGATGGTTTTTGTTGTAAATAGCGTGAAATCGAGGGGTAAACAATTGACTGTAGCCCAATGAACAGTCAATTGCTCCCTAGTTTTAGAATAGATAATTGGAAGTGGCTGAACCAAACTCTGTGGTTTAATAGTTCCGTAACTTGTTCGGTGGCATGTATCACAGCTAGCAACAAAGGACTTAGACCTGGTTTGGTACTGAGGTGATTCTGAAAAAAGCTGCTGTCAAAAAAAGCTGGGAGCTATTTTTGTGTTTGGTAAACACTCAGCTTCAGCTTTTTTTCACAGTTTTGGATGAAAAAAAGCCAAAAACAAGAAGCTGCAAAACCTAGCTTTGAAAAACTGGCTTTTTTTCACATCTGTTTTACATAAAAGTTTACCAAACACTCTAATACTGCTTTTTTTTTTCAAAAGCACTTTTACAAAAAAGTTTACCAAACACTCTGCTGCTTTATTTCACAGCTGCTTATTCTCACAGCACAGCAGAAGCAGCTTTTTTTTAAAACACAGCAATACCAAACCAGCCCTTAACTTCCTTCCTTAAACATGGCCAATTGAAATTTCAACCAACGCGTTTGTAGGTGTGAAGGAGGCCCGAGTTTATGACAGTGGGAACACAGTGGAAGTCCTCCAAGATACTATAACGAAAAGGAGAGAAGCTGCAACATATATGCCATCTTTGTAATATAAAAGATCCCCGTGAAGAGAAAAATGAAAGTGAGTGGGCCGATTGTTCTGTAAGGCTTGAAGAATCGAAGAAGCCTCTGTATTCTTCGCATATTCTGCTTAGATCTTAGATTTACTGTAAAAAAAATAGGCTGGGAAAGACCCATAAGAACCAAGCACTCATGTCGCCTAGACAAGGCATTTATGCTGTATTCGTGGAACCCGATAGGTATTCGAGATGATATGGTTGAGGTATGCGGCATGCCACCATAGATTGCCCAGAGCACTTAGAGGCTTTGACTTTCAAGCCGTGATAACGTAGAACATCAAACATAGAGGTAAAATGTTTTAGGTGCATATATAAATCCGGACTGAAGATGAGTATAACGTAAAAAAAAAAAAACTAGAACAAATTTACATAGAAAAGGCTTGTAGATGGAATTCATTTTGGTTTGAAATGTGGAAGGGGCATTGCAGAGCTCCAAAGGCATCACTAAGAATTCAAAATGTCCATCATGTGTGCGAAATGCCATTTTTGGTATGTCGGGTTTGTACATACGGATTTAGTGAAATCCCGACCTGAGATCTAATTTGGAGATGATTTGAGCACCCCGAAGTTCGTCTAACAACTCATCAATAGTCAGAACGGGAAAAGGGAATTTGATCGTCACGAGATTAAGGCCTCTATAATCCTCGCAAAAACACCAAGTATGGTTATGTTTTTGGACCAGTAAGGCAAGGGAAGAAAGAGGACTTCAATTGGGGTGAATAATGTTTGCAGCCAACATTTCATCCACCTGTCGTTGAATTTAAGCCTTTTGAACATGGGCGTAACAATATGGTTGAACATTCACCGGTTTGCTACTCAGCAACAAGGTGATTCAATTGTCAATGGCCCACTGTAGGGGAAGACCAGTGAGAGCAGCAAAAAGCTCAGAGTTATTGGCCATAATGAGACCAATTGGTAGTGGAATGGTATGGACCACCTCAAGAAGTGAACGAGCACTCATTATGGAGACCAACAAGGGACCCGTATCCAACAATTAAGATACTGAAGGTATCAAAGGCAAATAGGTTGGAGAGTCAATGGATTGCAGGCCAACCAAGAGGTAGGTACTGCCATCGATTTGGAATTCCATGATCTTGTTCTTGAAGTGGTAGCCAATGAAACCCAAAGATCATTGAAAAACCAGGTTAACTCAATCTTCATGTATTTAGGAGCACTGAAGGTGGGCGGTGCTATACGAAGGGTGAGGGGCTGTTGGTGAGGTTGAAACGATAGGGAGAAGGGGTGGAGTGTGGCAGTGGACGTCGAGAGCTAAGGGGACGCCTATGGATAACCAGTAACTAGAAAAAGGGTATACGGTTTGGATGGAATCGGGAATAATGAGTACACCATGTAGGAGGAGGGCCAGCGGCTCCCACCAAAACCGTATCGGACCACAGAGGCAGCTTTTTTTTTTTTTTTTTTTTCTTGTCTACTAAAAAATATATATATAAAAATAATAATGCAAAATATAAACTGTATACAAAACACATAATTTGCTGGGTATTACCTTTTCCGAAACTTTTCACCCTCCATTATTATTAACGGACGATCACATGATTCTGCCATTACTCTTAAATTTAAATAACAACTACAATTGTAATCCAGGAAAAGGTTTGAGAAATATCGACAGCGAAACTAGTTATTTATAGGAAGCTTCGCCACCTTACCCGGCGAACAATTCGCCGTGCAAAATCCCTCAATAAATGCCGCATTGATTTCTCTGATTCAATGGCATTGAATCCTTTGACTCAGATAACTAACCATGAGTAAAAAACATGTGCGACGAACATTTTGTTGTGCCACACTTCAATGGGAAATGTTTCGTCGCAGCATTGTTTTTTCCGCAAAAAAAATAAAAGAAAAGAAAAAAAGACTTATTTGCATTTTTTTCCCGCAGTTTGCGCGACCATGTTGTTTTTTCGTCGTGCAAAGATCTTTTCTGAGATAAAAATTGTCGTTGCGCAATGTTTGACAATATTGCGCAACAGTGTCTCGCATTCTTCGCGCTTGACTATCTATAGTGACAAATTTTGCTTCGTCGTGTAAAATTTTGTCGCGCAAATAATATTTTCTACTAGTGCCACGTAGGCCTGGCAAACAGGTCGTGTCTATCGTGTTCGTATCGTTTTCGTGTAACACCTGTTATCTTAACGGGTCGTGTCGTGTCACACCCGTTATCTTAACGGGTCCTTAACAGGTCGTGTCACTTTACCCAACAGGTAAAGTGACCCGACCCGTTATGACCCGTTAAGAAAAAAAAATATTTTTTTAAAATTTGCACATACCACACATTGCCACATAAATATTACTTCAAAACATTAAAACATTTCTCGTTCAAGTACTATATCTACACTCGAAAATAAAAGCCTAATAAAAAAAATAATACATACACTACTAATCTATTACAAATATTAAATGTGCAAGGATAAAGAGTTTTTGTTTTTAAGATTGTAAGTCTTTCTCAAAAGTTTACACCTCCATTTACAAAATCTCCAAGCAAATACAAACAATTTTGACGGTTTGGATCGTTGAAATTAGTTTTGGAGAATTCGTAAAACGATAGATTGACTGACATAAGATTTTGTGGTATCCACTTGTGTAAATATTTTAAATTGAAGATCAAATTCATTCATTGTATTCATATAGGGTCAAGGAGTGTAGTTATAAAAAATCATCAAAATCGGAGTTAAAATAACCGTTAAATCGTGATTTTTCGTTTATAACCGTTGAAAAGCTTTGTTCCGTTACTTGATCTCTGAATGTTTTTTTATTGTGATTTTTTGCTGATGTGATCTCCAAGCATATACAAACAATTTTGACAGTTTGGATCGTTGAAATTAGTTTTGGAGAATTCGTAAAACGATAGATTGACTAACACTTAGAGTTTATTTATACTTTTATTAAGTATAACATAAGATTTTGTGGTATTCACTTGTGTAAATATTTTAAATTGAAGATCGAATTCATTCATTGTATTCATATAGGGTCAAGGAGTGTAGTTATAAAAAAATCATCAAAATCGGAGTTAAAATAACCGTTAAATCGTGATTTTTCGTTTATAACCGTTGAAAAGCTTTGTCCCGTTACTTGATCTCTGAATGTTTTTTTTTTGTGATTTTTTGCTGATGTGATCTCCAAGCATATACAAACAATTTTGATGGTTTGGATCGTTGAAATTAGTTTAGGAGAATTCGTAAAACGATAGATTGACTAACACTTAGAGTTTATTTATACTTTCATTAAGTATAACATAAGATTTTGTGGTGTCCACTTGTGTAAATATTTTAAATTGAAGATCGAATTCATTCATTGTATTCATATAGGGTCAAGGAGTGTAGTTATAAAAAATCATCAAAATCGGAGTTAAAATAACCGTTAAATCGTGATTTTTCGTTTATAACCGTTGAAAAGCTTTGTCCCGTTACTTGATCTCTGAATGTTTTTTTTTTGTGATTTTTTGCTGATGCGATCTCCAAGCATATACAAACAATTTTGATGGTTTGGATCGTTGAAATTAGTTTTGGAGAATTCGTAAAACGATAGATTGACTAACACTTAGAGTTTATTTATACTTTCATTAAGTATAACATAAGATTTTGTGGTATCCACTTGTGTAAATATTTTAAATTGAAGATCGAATTCATTCATTGTATTCATATAGGGTCAAGGAGTGTAGTTATAAAAAATCATCAAAATCGGAGTTAAAATAACCGTTAAATCGTGATTTTTCGTTTATAACCGTTGAAAAGCTTTGTCCCGTTACTTGATCTCTGAATGTTTATTTTTTATGATTTTTTGTTGATGTGATCTCAAAGCATATACAAACAAGTTTGACGTTGGGATCGTTGAAATTAGTTTTGGAGAATTCGTATGCCATCAATCAAGTTCCGTGTGTGTGTGTGTGTATAACTATATATATATATATTTATTAAGTATATTTAAATCTATTTATTTTGTACGTATAAATTATAATTGACTGGTACACGGAATAGTACATACATCACGTGTCACGTGTGTCATTATAAAAATAGTGAGATATGTCATGACAGTCATGTGTGTGATAAAAAGTTAATAACTTAAAAAAAAAAAAAAAATTCGCACCACTTCTATTAATTTTCATTTTTCCCTCTCTTTTTTGTTTCCTTTTCAACTTTTTCTTATCATTTTCACTTTTCCCTCCAACATCTTTCCCTAATTCCCTCACTTTTTTGTTTTATTTTCAACTTTTCTTAACATTTTCATTTTCCCTTCATTTTTTTTTTCAAAAAGGACGGCAAGTTGGCAATGGCAAGAAATTGATTATTGAAATTTGAATGGAAACAAA